CAAAAACATGTTGAGGTTAATTGGTGATTCTAAATTGTCCGTAGGTGTGAATGTGAGTGTGCTTGGTTGTCTGTCTCTAAGTGTAGCCCTGCGATGGACTGGTGACCTGTCCAGGGTGTCTCCTGCCTTCACCCTGAGTCAACTGGGATAGGCTCCAGCCCCCTGCGACCCTAGTGAGGATTAAGCGGTGTATAGATAATGGATGGATGATTGTGCTGCGTAAGACAGTGCAAGGGAAAGTCATCTTTTAAACTTTGCCTGAAACATTTCTTATTTGCTATATTTAATATTATGCGATATTGTATCAAATGGAAAGTGAAGACAATGTAAAAAGAGTATCAAAGTTAGATGTTAATCAGTTTTTCATGACAATAATCCCTTTCTGACTTAAAATGGCAAATCCAGCTCACCTACAACTGAAACGCCAAAAACTACTGTGAGTTACACAATGATACGTTGTTATATTGGAGTAATGCGCCATATGACCCAGAAGCTGATTCTAAAAAGAATAATGACACCAAAATCTTAATTATGAAAAGTTGAAAGGACCGGTTCCCAGATGTCTGGATCCATGTTTTTGACTGTCATTGGAATGCTGCAGTGTGACGGTGGAAATGCTCAGTCATGGTGTGGACTTCTTACTTTGTTCATCATGTGTATTCTAGCATAAAAACACCATGTGGGCATGCAACAAATGAAAACACAACACCTTGGTTTTTACTGTAGGAGCTCTTTAAAGAAAAAAAAAAAGCTTTATGACTAATGTGGTTCCTATGCAAAAACCTTCAACATCTGTGTATCATACGTTTATTCGAGTATTTGATTTTTGGGCTTGAAAAACAGAACAAGGGGTCAGAGTTTGTTTGTTTTCATAAAAAATTTGATAACATATTAACAACAAACCAAAAAAATAGTTTTATTTCTCTTCCTGTTTGTATCTTGGGAATTTCTTTTTTTTTTTTTCTGTTTGCAAAAAAGTGACAAATGCACGCACAGAGCAATAAGTAGAAAATAAATTGACATGAACTTATGAGGAGAATTTGCCTCAGAAGGCTTTTCTGAATCACCCCTTTCTTGGTTAAAATCAAGGGCACTTCTCTTTTTAACAACAAAACCAAGTTCTGACCTTTTTGTCTATAGATTGAAGGAAATAGAGGACAGATGACAGACTGACCAGCTGATTTACTTGTTAAAAAATCATCGATTGTATCTGCTCTTTCCACCTTATTGAAAAATTATTGAAAACTTTATTGTGTATGGAAATTTTTTAATGCAAATGTTCAACAAGATGTCTCGTACTTTGATGAAAAGTCCATTCTCAGTGTATGTGCCCTGGAGTTTTCACGTCACGCTTGTTTATTGTGTATCCTGAGCCACAATGGCCTCCAAAGAAGTTATTTAAATCATCTTATACGTCCATATTTTGAATTCTATTTTTATATGACCACAAAAAATGTGAAAACAGACTTCTAGAATTAAAGGCTGCACAAGCTCAAAACATCCATTTAAAGCAATGGTAAACAAAAACACATGTAGTATTTAATCAATTCAAAATGTAAGCTCCTAACATCATAATTTGTCAGTTAATCGTTCTATTAAGGTTGTAATTCCTGCCATGTCTGTCCATGATAAACAGGGATTTAGTTGTTTTATTTAGTGTCACACGTGACATCAGGTTGTTAAACATGATGACACAAGCTCATCAGTTTTATAAAGAAAAAGGACTTTAAGTACAGAATAAATTATTTGTCAAGGGCTTTCATGAACTTTGCATGTTACCACTTGGTTTCTTAAAGTTGTCCCGTTAACCCACCATCAACACAAGGTGGTGCTGTTTCACTTGAAATGTCTCGAAAGGGTTGGAGAGGCACAATTTACATTTTTCTATAAATAGAATTTCCTTTTGATCTTGGCTCTTTCATCAAACTGTTGTTTGTGCCGAAAAAAATTTAATTGTTACCTTCAGAGTTTTAGTCAAAGTCTGTTAAATCTGTTAAATGTTTACCGTCTAATTTTTACAGTAAGAAACAGGAAAAAAGCGGCTTCTTCCCCTTGAAATCAACTTGTGAACCAACTGAAAGCTTTTTAAACTCAGATGCTGCAACTTTCTCTTCACTGTTTGAAAATTTTATTTCTTGTCAGTTTCAAAGTCTTTTTTTTTTTTTTTTCCCCACAGATGTGAAAACTAAGTCCAGTCTGTTTTATCTGCGTTACGCCACCACGTGTCACTGCAGCTCATAGTTACTGAACTAGAATCTCCAAGGACGACACACAGACTGTTACATCTGGCACATCTAGCTCCGGTATTTCCACCACACAAGTGATCCAATGAGCCAACGGTGCCTTTTTATTTTTCTTTAAAAAAAACAAAAAAACAAAACGAAACAAAAAACATGTTGAAACCGTTCAAATATGAGCGCTTGGAGAAGCATAATGCTACACCAAGATGACAGTGACCCAAAATATGATATTTTTTTTCTTAAAAAAAAGGAATTCATCAAGTAATACTAAAATAGAGCATTAAAATCAAAATGTTACAGAGATGTTTGCATGGAATAAACAACATGGCTAAAGACCACACTATTAGCTACCAGAGAGAAAAGACAAAGGTCCATTGCAATAAAAGAAAGACTGTCAAGTGCTGGGGTAAATATATATATCTGCTTCATTTGTCATGTTTTAGAACAATAAAATATAGGCCTCTGAGCTGTCACTCTCGCCTTTGTCCTAATGTTGCCTGCAAAAATACCAAGAAAATTGACATATCCTGACAGTTTTAAAAAGTACACATACTGAGCATTATTTTACATCTGAGCAAGACTCGAGGTCACTATTTGTTACAAATAGTTATCAAAAGAAGCCTTAAGTTTCAATTTTCTGCAAGACGCTTCAACAAGAAAAATGGCTTTCCTGTGTCCAAAGCTTATTTTCATATATACCACTATATAAAAAAAAAAAACAATATTAAAAAAAAAAATCACTGAAATATACACCAAGAAATTGAAACGAGGGTTCAAGATACAAAAAAGCATTCAAAATAAAAATTCAGTCTAAAATGAAAAGCAAATCAAAAATGTTGATCCATTTTTTGCACCAACTGGTCAGCAACAAACTAAAATGTCGTCTTGAGGACGTTTCTTAGACAAGATGAGATCCCTCCATCTTCCTTAGTGCAGTCTAAAAAGAGGTGTTTGGTCGGTCGGGTGAAACCCCAAATGGTCTCAAAAAATCCAGTGAGAGAGAGAAAGAAAAGGAGGGGGGAAGGTGTCGAGGAAGTGAATGTCGGCCTAATGTACTATACAAAGGAACAGAGATGACAAATAACTTAGAATAACTTAGTAACAGGAGTGTCTGGGCGGTGCGGGGGGCAGAAGTTTGTGCGCACATCACAATTGCTGCTGTTTTTCAGTGCAGTGCCTTGGATTGCAGTAAAGCTGATATTTAAAGGAAACTGACAAAACACAGATGTCAAATTGATGTTTGTCTGGGTTTTTCAGTCAGAGCGCAGTTACATGAGGGTGCTCCTACTAATCATGATTGTCTTGTTCAGTTCAGTTCAGTGTCTCTACAGCAGGCGCCTTCAGGAAGGGAGTAGAGTCAGACAGTGAAGTGTTCTTTTTCTCGATGGTGGTGGTGGCATATGACCGTGTTGAAGTAGAAAGGGAGTGGGGTTATGTGGGGTATTTGGCAGGGGGGAGGTCAGGGCGGAGGGTTTTGGAGGTGGTGGTGGTGGTGGGGGGGTCCTCTGAGAACTGGAGGCTTCAGTTTGGAGATTTTAAGGGTCTTCATGGAATCTAACAGGCCTCCATCTCTAGCAGAGGGCCCGTAGCTGCTGCCTTCGCTTTGCATGTGGAGAAACTGTTTCGTTTTCCTCCTGAAATGAAACAGAAGACGGGGGACAAGAAAAAAGACGGTTCGATCAGCCGCGCCGTCAGCATAAGGCAACTTTATCAGCATACAAAGAGGAGGAAAACTCACACCAAAACATCGGCCGCATTCACATCATGTAAACCAAAACCAGACCGACATATCGAGATGACTCAGAGTGACTCCGGAGTGTCTCACCATGCAAGCATGCTATCCCGTTCCAGGGAGGGGCGAATTATCTGTCATTACCATCTACATAATCAATCATTAGTTGTTGTTTTTTTCCCCTCTTAGTGTTGCAGCTGATTGAATGAAAGCCTCTGCAGTGGTGTTGAGCCGAGCGCTCAGATACAGAGGGGGTTACAGGTCAGTGGCAGGATGTGGGCCGGCCTGGCTTTGATCTGGTCTAACATGGGGGTTGCCGTGACCCAGCTGGCAGCTCTACGCTCTTCCTCGCTCATTCCTCCTCTCACTCTCTCAGGCGAGCGCCCAATTGTGTTGCTTCTGGTTGACATTTAAGCTGCCGCTGTAGGTGGCCGATGGGAGTACAAGGAAAATAAAAATTCTGGGTTCGTCCCAGTATCCACACTTGTGGTCATGAGCCCTTAATAGCACATTTGTGGATCTATAGGTAGCAGACAAGAGTACATTGGAAGAAAGCCAGAGCACAGTATCCTAAACCCACACTTGTTGCACACTTCTAAAACCGCTTCGGAGCTAAGTGCATCCCACAAGTCACCGCACCCCACAGCATGGTTGGTGGCTGCAGTGAACATATAGACTGGTTTTACTGCTGCCAAATAATCAGCTGACAACAAGACATTCGTGACACTAATAATAAAGTCCAAACACCACAAAGTTCTAGTAGAGCCTCCGCAGATGGTGGGCCAACTTTTCTTCTTGCTGGGACTGATAACTTGAATACTGCACATCTGACATTGTAGAGACGAATAATTAATATATGAAGAAATTCAAAGATTTGGGGAAATATTT